TGCTCGGACCAGAAGGATTTTCCAAGCCAACGCCATCTGCATTTTCCAGGGCTTTCCCCCATTTCTTTTGCTGCATACTTTTAGGCATTTGACAAAAACACCGATGAGCTGAGACCATTTTCCTGGATGCCTTTGCCTTTGCCTTTGCATCTGCTTCTGCCTTGATGAGCCGCAATCCGGGCCACTTAAGTGGGCTGGGAAAACGATGGAAAGCGGAGGAAAATCGGGCGAGTGAGCGGAGCAATGTAGGCTTAGTCTGACATGTAATCGAATGCTATAATTTCCATTAAACTGATTTCCCACGAGCAGCTGCAAGTCAAGCCAGCAAATGTTGCAATGCTGATGACCGGCCCTGGCTTTCGAAAGGGGCTGGAAAAGTGGAAAAGCGCATAGGTGGAAAGGTGGAAAAGCGGTGACCATGAGTGGGGGAGGGGAAAGCCGACAGTTAATGGCCACATGCATAAAAACCTGCAGCCAACGGAAACCCAAAGAGGATACATCTCAAAAGGCGAACTGTGGCAGCCGGGTGGCTTGGAAAATTCATGATGGAGGTGGGGTGGTGGCGGAAAATTCATCCACTGCATCTCCCGCAGGACCTCTAGCCAAAAGTCACCAGTCTTGAGCTCTGAAATGAAAAATAAATTGAATTAAATTCCAAAAAACCAATCTTTTGCGGGCACTTCAACATCGGCAACCAGCTGGCATCAATTAATAAATCAACTTAGAGCTTAAAATATAGGATATGTAGTATATATTTGGTCTAACACAAATACTATGAAGGAAAATATTATCCCAAATCCCATATTTAATGACTTAATAATTAACCAAATATTAAAAAAAAGAGTTTTTAATCAAATATTAAAAAGAATTACAAGGAACACAGTCTGAATGACATTCATAAACTAAATATAAATAGTCAAATGGCTCTAAAAATGTTTGAATCATTATTAAATATAAAAGAAAAGCAGTTTAAGAACCCATGTATTTTTATAAACATTGAACATTATAAGCCGAATTGAAATTATAACAAAATATGTCCATTTTTAATTAAATAACTTTATTAAAGCGCAATTTTATTATCTACATTTTAAAAAACAGATGGATTTTTCCCAGAATTGTTATCCCCTTTGCTAAACATAAACTTTATGGTTATTCAAAGAGCTGTGGAAATAAAAAGGCCATAAATAAAATACCAAAATCGCTTGCCGAATGGCCTAAAAAATACCCGAAAGAAAACATGCATTGAATCAATCATCAAGATGGCAAATGGCTAAAATCCGCTTAGGTTCTCAGTTGTTTTTTCGCCACCGCCAGCGATCGCCATCCGCCCCCTGTGTCACTCCCCCTAAGCCACGCCCCCCCGCCGAGCCGCACGTAAGTCGAGTCCGATTTCGAGACATAAACAAAATAGCCCCAAATCGCCCCACTCAAGTGTCTTGTGTTTATAACCGGCGGACAAAAAGGAAAAGTCTGGCCGGGAATTCTTATCACCGCCGGTCAGTCGTCGCCAGTGGAGGGTTATTCGAGGGACTCCAAGTCCAAGGACTCGTCCTCGTCCTCAGTATCCTGTTCCTGTTTCAGTTCCCGCTTCTCATCCTGATCCCCGCAATGCTGCTCCCCCTTTTCCACCGCTCAGTGCTCACTTAAGCCGCTTTGGGCATGCATGGCAAGAGGCAAATCGGACTAAGCCACTGCTGCTGCTTTAAATTCTTGGGGCCACTCTGCCGCACTGAGGAAAAAATGTACAAGCTCAGAAAAACCCAAGAACTTTTCAGCTAGATGGTCTCAGTTAATTTCCATAATTAAATAGTGTTTCAGGGTAGAAATATGTGTATTCCATCAATGTCTAGAAACCAAAACATTGTTATTAAAAGACTTCAATGTGCTAAAGGGATGCGATTTATTTAAATCTTCATGTTTGGCATTTCCAATAAGCACAATCTAATATCTTTTCCTTGATATATTCGAAAGGATAATCCTATAATCACAACCTAATTAATAAGACTTATGAAAACTTAACAAAATTTTGTTTGGCATTTCACCATATTTTTGTTATTTATTTCCGTTAATATAAAAAATAAACTGCAACATTTTTTTTAAATCCCTGGTATTTTCAAGAGGCCAAACCCAAGTATCACAACCCATTACGATTTGTTATTTCATAACACATCAAACAAACTAAACAAAAATATGTATATAACTTGATACTGCACATTTGTGTTATTTCTAAATTCATCTATCAGTGTGTGGACCCTCTGCACCTCAAAAACAAGGGGGGATGAGGAAACATTGTGCCTGGGAAAATACAGCGACGACTGTCACCTGCGACTTATGCAAATCACCAAACGACCGAACAGCTGAAAATAATTTTCCACATTTCCGTTACAAATAAAAACCAATTCACTTTGCTAATATGGCCACACAGGCAAAGACTCATCCGGAATAGAAAAGCCGGTTTCCCGAGGGCTGGGAAAGTGGGGAAAAGTGGGCAAGTGGAAAAGCGGTGGGGAAAGCTGACTGCGTTTCGGATACGCAGGCCCTGCAAAAGTTTATGCACGCAATGCAATAATTTTGTTGCACAGTGTATGCCCTAAGGGCAGCTGGGTTTTTCGAATTTTAAGTAGCTCTAAAAACTAATAAGTGAAAATGAAATGTTTGTCCAAAATGTTGTGCTTTGTTATAAAAATCATAACATTTTTAATTTATTAAAAAAGGATATATTTAAAATGAATTAAAGACATCCAGAGAAACACGTTTTAGCAAAATTAAATATGTTTATATTTGAACTTATTATGTTGTTTTAAACACAATTGTGCTTAAATTAAACTTAATCTTAGTTATTTAACATAAAGACAATGAATTCCAATAATTTTCTTTAAAAAATTTAAATTTATTCACTCGAAATATTGTTATAATATATTTGAATGAAGGTGTTGTAGAGTTAAGCATGTTTTTTCTCTGGGTCAAGGTACAACAATTAATTGCATGGAAAGAAATGTTTTGAATAAAAAGGGAACAAATATTCATATTTAAGTTAGGTGTCCGCTAGTAAATTCCTTCTTAAGAATATTCCATTGTTTACATATTGTTCAAAATGTGTTTTATTTTTTTTAAATATTTTGAAACTATTTGTTGATGTAGAGTTTATGGTTTATACCATACATAAAAGTGTTACAAATTCAGCTGCTGCATTTTATTTTGCGGGAAGAGTATTTCGAACACCGAGTGACGCCCTGCGGTCGTGTAATATTTCCATAAGCTGCCGCTTACCAACCCGCTGGATGTTTCTTTTTCGCATTTGTTGGATGTCAGTTAGTCAGTTTGTCAGTCAGTCAAGTAGTCAAGTATTCAAGTGGCAGGAGGACGAGCAGGAGCAGGAGTAGCAGGAGTAGCAGGAGTGGTGGCATTTGCAAGTCGTTAAATGCCTTTGCAGCTCGTCATTGTCGTTGGCATTGTGGCTGCACTTGCCCCCCTTTGGGGCGCCCCTTTGGTGGTCAGGGGTGGGGCTCAGAGGGGGGCTCAGATGGGGGCTCAGAGGGGGTAGGCCAACCCCTTTTCGGCCATGTTCCGTGTCGCTGGCATTGTCAATGCTTTCGACTTCCTTCCGCTGTGGCCAACAAATTCGAGCCGCGCATGCAGGCCGCGCAAACATAATCATCATTATTGCTGCAATCAGCATATTTGGCAGGCTTAAAGTCAGTCGCTGTCCTGCGGGAAAAACACGGAAGCATTGTAAATTCCCTGCCCCCCTCCTGCTCCACCTCCTCCACGGCACTTAGTGCCCCCCGTTTTCCCGCAGTGTAGCCCCTTTGCCATGCGTTTAGTTGTGTGGTTATGCTTAATATCCGTCATTAAAATGGTTGTTGTTTTTACCGCACCGCAGAGGAGCAGCAAGACCACGACGGGTACACTACAAGAAATTGTTTGGTGAAATCTAAACAACAACTTCACTACAGGGAAGCCGAAATGTCCTATTATTATTTATTTTATTTTTTTTATTATTTCTGTTTTACCTGAACCTTATCTTGATTAAGTCAAAATTGTATGATTTTTTGATATTTTATGAAGGTTTTATCATTTAACAATATATAAAATAAAATAAAATAAAAATTGATATGTGCAAGGTAAATTGTCTTTTAAACGGCACCAAATACTATTTATGTAGTTTTATGAATAGTTATAATATTTCATTATCATTATTAACAAATTTAATTAAAAAGAAATTGCTTTACATTTTAAGCTCAATGCAAACTTAGTTTATAGGTTTATTTTTTTTTTAAACAATGAAATAATTTAAATAAAATGTTTCAGATAATAAGAAACATTTTTTGCGGACATTCAGTCTCGTGTGATTTAGCCACATGATTTATTTGCTTGTAGTTGAACCGCAATAGATTGTTTTCAGTGTAGCCGCCCGGTGCCAAGGAGAGTGCGTGGGTTGGCCTAAGGCCCATCACCTGAACCCACCTGAAGGCAACCGAGCCAATACACGTGCATTATGCAAATATCAAATATATTGCCCAGTGCATGCGATAAGAATCCATTGCGCAAAAATTAATTAGTCAATTTGCATGAAATTTATGTACAAAGCGCGAACAAACGAAACCAAAACGACGCAAAATTTGCTATTCCAAGGAGTTGGGGGAGTGGATTTGGGGCTGAACATATATCTGACTCGACGCGGATAAGGCCACACTGTGCTACAAAAATGATGGCCTTAAATTTGGATTTTAAATTTTTGTTTCAATATTTGTATACTGAAAAAAAGGGTACCCCCTAAAGTACAAAACTAATACAATCTTTAATTAAAACATTTTAATAAACTATACTATTACTTATTACGTTCGTAAGTATTTCGAAAACAAATTGAATTTTAAGTTTTTAAATAGAAAGAAATTAAACTGTCCGGTAAATATTACTAGTTGTGTTAAAGAAGGTTGTGCATTTTAAATCATACTTTTGCAACCTTTGATATAAGTGTCACCCATTTATAGATCCCAGTAGCCAGTTTATTTTGTTCATAAAGAAATAATCGTAGACATAATTTTCTCTAAGGAATTTTATTAATTTTGTGCACAAAATAAAGCGAAAACAAGATTCGGATTTGAAGACATGCCCAATGCAAATTTCATAGAAAATACTGACATATAAGAAAACAAATATTTGTTCATAGAAGAGTAAACAGAAATGCTTTAATTTGGCATAAGAAAATTGAGCAAAATAAAAAAAACATTGCGTAAGGTAAAGAAATCAACCCAAAGTAAGTGATATGATTGTTTTCCTTTGGCTTCTATAACACATTTGTGTGCATGTGTGTACACACACACACACATTTGAGAGTCTGGCAAAGGTATTGTCAAAATACATAGTGTGCCCTGCAAAGCATGTCAATGACGCCTCTGGCCCTGTCAAAACTGACTGTTAACTTGTGTAGGCAAGTTTCCGTAGCCTCGAAACTTATTTTATTTTCTTGCAATTCTTGCAGGATTGTCTGAGACGGAGATGGCCCTGTACTGGAACGTGAACTGCGACGGCTGCGGCACCACGCAGTTTCGGCACTACCGCTACAAGTGCCTGCGCTGCGCGGACTTCGACCTGTGCTCCGACTGCTACGAACTCGGGGCGATGACCGCTGACCACTCGCCGGCGCACCCCTTCCAGTGCCTGCTGGACCGCGCCGCCCGCGAGCTGCACTTCGGCGGCGAAGAGATTCCGTTCATGTGCGCCGACAGCTTCACGTGCCCGCTGTGCGGCGAGATGGGCATGACCTCCGGCGAATTGATCAAGCACTGCCAGAAGCGACACCGGGCGGTGCGCACGCCGGTCATCTGTCCGCTCTGCGTGTCCGTGCCGTCCTCGTGTCCGGACCGCGTGACGGGTCTGGTCGACCACATGGCCATTGAGCATCCGACTACCTTGCTGCGCCTGCTGGAGGGGCAACCGCAATCGCCCACACACTCGCTCCCGCCCCCGCCACCACCGCCGCCGCCGCCGCCACCGCCAACAACAACGTCCGTCTTTAGTGGCGGCTCCTATCAGTGGTCCGGGTTGGGCAATATGGAGCTCATGGGGAGCACCCTGCAGCAGCAGCAGCAGCAGCAACAGCAGCAGCAGCAGCACCAGCGCGCCCAGGTGCGCTTCATCCTGCCCATGTTTGCAGTGGAAGAGGATCTCGGCGATGAAGACGTCGACTTCTGAAGCGGAATCTGTTGAATCGGATGGAGGATCGGATGGAGGATCGGATGGAGGATCGGATGGAGGATCGGATGGAGGATCGGATGGAGGATCGGATGGAGGATCGGATGGAGGATCGGATGGAGGATCGGATGGAGGATCGGATGGAGGATCGGATGGAGGATCGGATGGAGGATCGGATGGAGGATCGGATGGAGGATCGGATGGAGGATCGGATGGAGGATCGGATGGAGGATCGGATGGAGGATCGGATGGAGGATCGGATGGAGGATGTCCAAGGAGCACACTTACTTCCATATATTTTCTTGCTGTTCACTTTAAGCCGCACACACACACACACACACACACTCACACTCACACACATATACACTCACAAAAGCACACTTAAAACATATTTACACTTAATAAACAAATACACTTTGGAAAAATGCAAAACAAAACGAATTATTATTCTTTTAAAGATGTTATTTGCGGATAAGACCTGCTTCTATATGATACTTCCTATTCGGATCGCTACTCATTAATATCATAACAAATAAACGAAAATAAAATGGCAAATTTTAGGTACTTAAAAAGGTATGAATCAAAAACTATAGAATGGAACATACCATGAAACAATTGATATTTAAATATATTTGTATAGCATTAGTTCCTATTGTCCTGTTTATGAATGCATACAACAAAGTTTAGAACTCGGGTTCACAATTGTATATACATTTTAATTGTATATTCTCTAGCTCATAATTTTGTTTTAAATTTGTTTTTATTATTTACCATTTTCCATTTATGAAAACTTAAGTCACACTCGCCATCGCCAGCCCAACTAATTAGAACTGAGGAGTAAGCCCCAGCTCCTTCGAGAAACCAGGTGCTTCCTGGGGGTATTACTTGGTCGTCAAGTCTGCAGTTCCAAGTGCTTCTGTTGCTGTTGCTGTTGCTGTTGCCGTAATCGGCTTAGAGGTGGAAACCTTTTGTCATTATAAAAGGATTTCAGGCCTGACAGAATTTCCATTTGTTGCGATTCGACGTACAGTTTGTGCTTAGTTAACTTTTGCCCGCTTTTGCCAGCCTTCGCAGAAATTAAGATTCAAAAACCGATATTGCGCCTCTCCAATTATTAAGGTAAGCACAGACAAAGCATTTCCAGATAAATTGCCAATCGAACTAGATAAAATGAGCCGAGTGTAAATAGTGGAAGAGCGCAGATAGGCCACGTCTCCAGGTCCCATATACACTGCGAGAAATCTAATTTCAAAAAAATTATACATTTACTCTTTTCTTTGTTTTGTGACTAAGATTTCAAATAAATAAGTAGTGTATTGGCAGCTGTAATTAGTTTTGGGAAATGAGTTAAGGCTTAATTCATATTATATTTATTACAATAAAAAATATCACACCTTTCTGTCAATATCCTATTTTTGTTTTGTGACTTTAAGATTTAAATTAAATAAGTAGCGGAACTTTTTTAGTTTTTTATTCATTTTTGGGTAAATTACACTTGATCTCGAACTTGAATGAGTTTCTAGCCATTTAATAATATGGTGCTATGCTATATTGGTAGTTTTTTAAACATAATTTTATGTTTTTAAACAGAAAATATTGTTAAAGTGTGAATAATCAAAATAATTTAAATTTTGGGAGCAAGCCCCTAAATAGTGTCATTTTTTTGTGCAGTGTATTAGGGCTTGCCTGGCAGCGTCCAGCCGAAAACAAAGCAGAGTAACCAGGAGTCCGGGCTCCAGCTTTTGGCTCCTTTCCTTTCCTTTTCCTTTGATCCCGGCGCTGCATGCGTGGCTGATGGTTGACAATAGATAGACATGGACATCGACACAGCCGGCATGTCCTTCGTCCTTCGTCCTGGGTCCCCCCTCCGTTCCTCCCCCTAGGCCTCAAAAGCTCCTAACTGTACATATATACACCCTCCCAGCAGGGTGGTCGTTATGGCTAATGAGTATTTTGAGGCCGAATCGGGGAATCGTGTTCACTGCAAGTTATCGGCCGGCAGGAAAGGTTTAAGGCTGCAGTTCCAAGTGGAAGCGGAATCCGGAATCCGGAATTCAGAACTCTCGAGCGACCCGCGGCGTGCGTGAGTCACGAGGGGCGGTCCTGCAGTTGTTGGATATAGCTTTAATTAAATAAAATCTTGATAGGGAGGGTACACTAAGACCTAATAAATTATTCAACATGTTTTAATCCCCAAAAAGTAGAATTTATTGTCTTTCCTTAGAGGTAATCCTCCCACCTTTGAAAACCAACTACTATTTGGTCAAATATAATTTTTTTTTTCTGTATAAAACTTAAAATTGGTCGCCTAGCATCGAAATGATTTTTATTATCATGTTAATAAACATACAATTTGTTTTACCCTTTTACCTTGTTTTTAGCTGCACTTCCGCTGGGCCCAAGTGGCTTCCACTTTAGGCTCGCCTCACGCCGGCATCTCAAGTGGCAGACTTAGGCCGCCTAGATCCCCTTATAACCCCCCTCGGAGAATCCACCTCGCCCACCGTCCCTGCCCTTACTCTTTCTCCACACAGGACGCATACAAATGACAATAAAAGCGAACGACTTTGGTTTTTGGATTTTGCAACTTGCCTGAGCCTCTCTCGCCGTTATTCTGTGTATGTGTGTGTGTGTGTGTGTGTGTAAGGGGTGGGGGGTAGGCTTAGCCCCCTAAGCACCCCCTATCGCCACCCCTTTGATTTTTTGCCCCTTGAAGAGCTGCCACAGTTTTGCGACTGAAAGTTGAACCGCAATCGACATCGCTGGCCGCCACACGCTTGCACAATTTTTAATCATTGCTCCGGCATTCAGAGCTGGTCCTTCGAGCTCCCTTTTTTCCCCGTCCCTGGCCAGCCCCTCTTTGCTCCGCCCCTCGACGATCCTGGAGCATTGTTGTGGGAAGGACGAGGACACATAAACATGCACGGCAGCAGGCGGCAAACATGCACTGCACAAAAAATATAGATATAATGTTACAAAAATAAATAAAAGGCTACTAAAGAAAATAATAATCCAGTTTTCACCATTCCTTCAATCTTATTCAAATGCGTAATCATTAAGACTTGATTGCATTAAATTTAAATAAAAAAAAAAAAAAAACATTTTAAAGTTACACTATAATCATCGCTTTAAATAAAGTGTTTCGAATATTGCCAAAAATAATACATACCCTCGAGTTATAATAAAATACATTGTAACACTTTTCAGAAAGTTTAAGCCAAAATAAAAAACCTACCATTAAAATAAAATCATAAAATCATTTCCATTATTTTATAAAAATGGCCTGTATGTTTTAAGGCCCCATTAAATATTTCCAGTGTGAGCAGGAGCAGGAAAAGGAACAGGGTTCTGGGTCCTGGGTCCTGGGTCCTGAAACGTGGGATCCCAGGCAGCGGGGTCGGGCACTGGGACCCCGGATAGAGCAGAGCCTGGGCTTATTGTCCGGGCTTTGGGTCCTTTATCTTGTTTCTAACTCATTGGATCGCAAAAACGGTCTCGTGTTCACCTTAATTGGGGTAAACATAAGTTCTGATTGCCCCGGCAGGGTTGCAGCGACACACAAAAAAAAAAAAAAAAAAGAAAAGAGTTGCCAGCGACATTTTTCTTTGCCCACCCCCATCTCCATTCTTGGGTTATCCTCGAAAGGAATGTGGCCGTTGTCTGGCCTGGAAAGTTGAGTCAAGTCAAAAGCCAAAGTCAAAGACGAACGTCGAACGTCGAACGTTGAACATATCCAATTAGAAGGCCACAAAGGGCGGGCGGCGAGAAAAGGGTCCGAAGTGGAGGTGGCAACCCTACCGTCCATTGTTGAAAGAAGATCACAGCGCCCAGATAGAAATTGTTGAACGTGTAATTTTTATTTATTGCATACAATTCTGTTAGAACAAATGACAGCGAAATTGGGACGGGTGTTTTCCGCTACACCTATGCGCAAAAAAATAGTATACTATAGTAAAAAAAATGTCGTATATTAATAAATAAATTCACCCAAAATTGTCGTGTACTTTATTAGCAACTGTATAACTTTTTTTGTATTACAAAAATTAAAGCAAAACAAAATTTAATACTAATTATTATCCCGAAATATTTGTAAAAACCTTTTGTAAAAATGGCTTTATAAACATTTTTATTGTTGCATTTCAGCTATTGGTCTGAGCACAGCTGTCTGTATTTAAAATAAATGTTCAACTTTGGCCGCACACAAAAAGGTTGCCGCCATGCAAAAAATGTTTGGGGAACTTTTGAATTGAAAAAGCGTTTAGACATTGTTCGCCTTTCTGTGTGTGGGCAACTAAATGATGGGGAAACTATAAAAATTTCCATAACAATAATAAAAGCAACGAAAAAGGCAGCGGGGCCCCCAGACCCGAAAAGACATTTATTCATTTCAGTTTTGGAAATTAGCATAAAAGTAAAGGCTCACATAGGGGATGATGTCTGTGTTCGGGATAAAAAGTGGGGGTTGAGGTGTTGTAAAATTTTTGGATTTCTGGGATGGGGAAAAAGGATACGGGATGCAGGATACAAGAGAGCAATGGGCCACAATCAAAGCTTGTAAGCGTTTGATAAGCGTGAAAAACGTGAAAATTTTAATAAAACCAAATGAGCCGCAAAATCATACAACCAAGAAAACAAAAAAAAAAAAAAAAAATGAACAGGGAAAATCGGGCTTGATATCCCAGATTTCGGCAAGTTGGGTAATAAAGCGCCCTAATGTATGCCACAGTTTCTGCTCGCTAATGCGGAAACTTTGTCACTGCGAAAAAGCTGCTCTGGAGAAAGACATTTGGAGACAGAGAAAGTCAGGGACAATGAGAAACATAACATTCGAAAAAATTCCACGTTATGTATGCTTTAACTTTTATCACCAAGTCCAAATTGTTGGGGAAATTGGTAAAATCTATAGGTAAATCATGCAGCTAATTACATTACTGGTTAAAATAATATCATATACGTATATCCAAATGAAATAAATTCTGGTAGGTTCAAATATATTTAAACTAGTTTATTTTTGAATTTGTACCTCTAGTTTAAAAGTCCTTGTTTAAAAAGCGATTTTATTGATATTATTTGGCTGCAAATGTCGGGCTCAATTGAATTTTAGTGGTGCTCTCGGCTAAGCTACGAGTTGGTTAACTTATGGCGTATTTGATGGCCACTTCAAACGGTTTGGACCAACTATTGCCAAGCTTGTTAGCCAACCAATTTGGCCCGAAAGTATGCGATGAAATCTGGTATTTGCCAAATGAGGGGACTTAAGTCCTGAACTATAGCTTAACCGTTTGGTTTTGGGATAGCAAACAAACAAGCCAACCTTGCCCCAATAAAAAAGAGAACGAAACGCGCACAGAAAACCCTTGTGTATCTGTCATACCTTTGAGAAAAGTTTCTGTTTTGGGTTTGGGTGTGGGCGCTCAATGGCAATAACTAAACAAAGGCAGAAATGACCAACACATTTTGCGCCTCAATAAAACTGTCAACATTATAAAGCGCCACTTAAGAAATGAACAAAAGACTGGCCCAAAAGGTGGGCGCGTCAGTGGGGAAAAAACAATAATCATAAAATTAAAGCCAAGCCAAAAAGGCAGGCGAAAATTAAATAAATAAATAAAAAAAACGAGGAACGCCACACAGGGCATCAGAAAAAAAACTACAGAAAAAGTTATCAGGTGGAAGAAGGTGAAGGGTTTGGTTGACATGTTTAGCATGACGCACACACACGGCAACACACTGGAAAAAAAGATCCACCCACAAACACAAGCCCGCCGTTGACATGGCTGCTGAAAACTGCCACTAAATGTCAGCAAATGAGGGTCAACACACAATACACATGTGCCACACCTCCGAGCCAACTAAATATTGTAATAAAACGTAGAAAAAACCCAGGGTGATGCATCGCTTGACATGTGATGGAGTGTGAAAATACCCTGGATATTCTTCGTTTTTTATAGAGAAAAAAAAACAAATACTTTAATTTTCCCTACTAAAGTACTTTATATTTTTTGATACTTGTATAATTTTGTAAAATCTAAAAATTCCAAACTTATTGCTTAGCAAACTGCTCCGCAGTACCCTGTATGCATAAAGGGTATAATGAGGAGAGAGAACATATAAAAAGTGAAAAAACTTGTTCGGCCCTTTCGTTATTTTTTTTTGGTTATTTATTCTATTTTATTTTTTTAATGAATTGACCGTAAAATGAACTTGTTGATGAGCCTTATGAGCTGACTAAAGTGCCACGCCCCCACCCACGACGCCTCCTTGGCGTGGTCATTTGCAATAAAAAAGGATTATGAGCTGAAGGACAGCCCCGAAAAAAACCGCACACACACACACTCGCACACGAAACACGATGTAGGGGGAAACACAAACACGGAGCATATAAATATTTATAAATGTGTGCGTGGAGTGAGGGGTCAAGTGTCAGTGCCATTTGACAACTTGCCACACACACTCACTGTGAAAAAAAAAGGTGCGTCCCCCTATTGGCCTCGCCACTTGGCCTTGAACCCCAAACTCAGGACCCAAAAACTCAGGGAGACAGCTACAAATATATGGCCTCTAAGCCATACATATAGTATAAATAAAAAGGGCACAAATGAAATCTGCCATTTTGAGAAATGAATAAGAGCAGTATTGTAGTATTGCTAATCCAGTTTAAATCTGTTTCTATTTTAAAACAGCTTATTTATTCTAATTTATTATCATGTGATAAATCGTATGATAGGAAAAGGAAAAGGTTTTTCTTAACCATCACCTAAATGTATTACTTAAAATAAAATAATGATAACACAAAATATTTGTAATATTTTGATAAAGAAAAATCAAAAAGTTGGGATCGCGAGTTAATATTGAAATAAACAAGTGCACAAATAAAACAAGAATCGTTTTGGTTCTTTCAAAACTCACTGGTACTTGATGAAAAGGAAAACAAGTCAAGGAAAACTTTGCTTGCAATAAATATGGCTTTTTAAAGAGCAATTGGCCCCGGAAAAGTTGCCCATTCCGGCAAGATTTGGACTACTTATCCCCCCACTGACTGTGCGTGCCAAAACATTTTGCTGAGCCTTTTGTCGAACTTGCAATC